CATCCGTCCTTCGGCCTCCGGTCCTCCTAGATGCCTTTTGTCTTTTGGGCTTTTAGCTCGCAGAGCATAGCCATGGCACATCGCATCGAATGCTCCCTCGTTCGCCCTTCATTTATTTTATTTTGAAATATATAAATCGCACCTAAAAAGTATGCTACACTAAACTTTGATTCATGGCACAAACTTTCCGTGTGCGCGCTGGGAAATTCCGCTTTCCTTACGCACACACACACACACAGACTCGCTTACACTTCTTTGCAGCTGTTGCCCACAACGTTTCGGTTCAACGCTTTTTACGTGCTCAGCTGCCACGCCCCCAACCACCTTTAAATTTAGCCGGAAAAAGCAGTGGCAGCAGCAGCAGGAACATATAAAAAAAGAGCAGCAGAAAACAGTGGAAAAACAGCGAAGCCAGGCAGCTTCGAAAATTTTTGCAATTTTCCCTTGCGCCCATTTAGCACTTGGCCATGATACGCAGTTTTCTCTTTTATTTGCTGTGAAAATAATAGAATCATAAACTGAAACGAACCAGCAGCAGCAGCAGCGAGCGGGGGACACGTGGTGGTCCGCTTTTGAAGTGTTTGATGAAATTTTCAACACTTAATGATAGCACACGCAAGCCCAGGGGGGAGCGAGGGAAAGCCAGCAGGAGGTAGGATCCCTGGAATAGTCAGCGAGTAGCCGGGATTTCAAGCCAAAAATAAAGAGAGGGAGGGAGTCAGCTGGATAGCAGGACATTGCCATCCATGTCCGTCCTCCGCAGCACACATCATAAACGTCAACGGCAATGACCGTGCACCGCACACACAATTGTGTTAACCAAATGATGCTGCCAGTGTCCCTTAGCGACCCCCTTAACCCATTTCCGCTCAACCCTTCAGTCCAGCTTCAGTCCAGAGCTCATGCAGTTCAGTTTCAGTTTCTGTTTCGGCGACTACATAAATAGCAGCCAGGCCAGGCCAAACCGTCAGACGAACGGGCCAATAAAACCAACGAGCCAGCTCCAAAATAGGCTGCATGGAAATGCGCGAAAAATACAGCAAGGACAGCAAGGACATGGGGCTGAAGGAGAGTGCAGGCAGTGAAATGGAATTTTTATATACCCTAGAGGACATTCCATAAAGGTTTTTTAATTCACGCCCATGAAAAATTTAATATTTTTGGGAGAGAAAGCAGAAGGTTTTAAGGGACAACTGTGGTGGATTCTATAAAGAATACATTTGTTTTAACTCTTTAAGAGTAAACTGAAAAATGAAATTATATAAAAACTTTCATTAAATTAGAGTACATTTACCTGTTACTGTTACTGTATAAACTTAATTTAATTCAATTGAATTTCCCTTCAGTTCCTGCATTTCACTTCAAATCCACCTTATTTAATATTCAAAACTTCAAGTTAAACTTGTTCTTAAACGAATTTTGAATTTCAGCCAAAAGGTATTTGCATTCATTACAGACTTGCAATTACCATATAAGGCACTTCAAGCATTATCACATCATTATTATACCCGAAAATTTGCATGCTCCCCCCTTGTTTGGGCTCCTCTCCTCTCTTCGCATTTCCCAATTTTCCGTTTCCCATTTTGCAGGCTTCTACTGAACCCGATTTTCACCGCCATAGCGGTGTTGCCTGTCTGCCTGCTGTTGTCACTGTTGGTCAGCAGCAGCAGCTGTTTTTGTTTTTATTTTGTTCACATTTTCCCTGCCTTTGTTTTTGTTTATGGCCAGGAATTATGTTGTTAGTGTTGTTTATATTTTAAAGCCTCTCGAACGCTTAAAGTGTTGCATTCAACGCGAAGCAAAACGGCTTGCCAATTGCCAAATAAATTACGAAATTTACAGCCAGACCCATGAAAATGGTGCTGCGGCGGAAAGAATCGACATCGAAAACTCACTCATGCCCCGCGCCAAATGGCCGCTGAGTGTTGGCCCATTTGGACACAATCAACGGCAACATTAACGATATCGCCTTCAAAGTGCCGACCCCAAAAAAAAAAAAAAAAACCAGCAAAACCCAAAACCAAACCCTAACCCAACCCGACCCCAGCAGGATTCGAGTCTGGGTCCAAGTCCGGGCAATGGCACTGCAAACACGCAGGTCCCCACAAATGACAGACCCCCAAAAAGTTTTGCAGGTGAAGCAGATGGCCTTTACACACCAGCGATGGCAGCGTGAAGGAAAATCGGGAAATCATGGGTCTCTGTTCTAAATTTCTATAATTAAAATTGAATTTAATAAAGAGTTTTAATGAATTAAATCAATATACAAGAGGAGCTATATGAAACCCTTACTTACACTTTAAATTAAATAAATAATTCTTCATGTTAGCTATGAAAGCTTAATGTCCTTAACAGCTGAATAGTTATCTATAGATTTTACTCTTAATCTAAATCTCTATTAATTGAAGTACTTTCTTTTTGTAATTTTACAATTTCCTAATAGATTTCACTATAAACTTTAGAGTACAATTCAAATACTGTCATCTCTAGCTGGAACTTTCCTTCGAGAGTTTTGCTTGTTGCGTGTCCACTTTCACTTAGTTTTCATCGGTATTTGTGTGTATGTGTGTGTATATCTAGTGTGTGTGTGTGTTTGCGAGTGTGCTGAAGTACCTGTATTAGTGTGTACCGAGAAATTGCGGTTTGTTTGCCAGGTAATTACATTTCGGCATTTTCTCTGTATGGGCAGGCAGCCCCTCGATTCTTCTGTGTGTGGGCATGTCAGCGTGATAATTATGCGACTATAATCGCACTTTTACATGCCAGTCCTGGCGTGGCACAACAGGGTAACGGTAAAGGTAAAGAAAGGCAAAACGGGGCAGATGAAAAGCTGAAAGCGGGGAGGGGGGTTGGGGGAACGCAAAGGAAAACTCAACTTGGAACTTCGAACTTGGCTAAAAACACTTGAACCTTAAACGAAATATGTCGTCAAGCGGCAAAAGTCAGCAGTGCCAGCTAATTAACTGGTCGCCAGGTACAGACCAGACTCGACCCGGCCAAGAGACCTGGGTCCTCTCCATCATCCCCCCTCCACCTCCATTTTGCACACACTCATGCAATATTTAAGGCAAGTTTGCCGGCCGGGCTTAAACAAAAGCGAAAGGCATGTTTAATCATAAGAGCAAAAACAACACGGCATGGTCGCCGTTTTCCATTTCCCATTTCCACATTTCCCCATTTCCCATTTACCATTCGGCCTTTTGCCGTGTTGCCAAAGGCAGAAGGTTCCTTTCGGTCCTCGCAGCGGATTCGAGGCTGGCCAAGAAGTGACGTCAACGTGGCGGGCATACAAAAAAGGGTTAAGCAAATATTGGAGTGAATAAAAACCATGAAAAAGGAGCCAAGCTAAAAAAAATATTACAACAACATTACGCTCGTGTGGATATATATATACATATATAGGTCTCTGTCTGTATTAAATTCACACAACTAAGGTTGAAACATGGGCTTAAAGGATATTTGCCAAAATTGTAACTAGAACCAATAGAGATACATGAACTAATTTTATCACTCAGCTAAGCTCCTTTGTAAAGTCCTTTTGGAAATTGCTTAAATAATACCTAAGCTCTTCGAACTAATTTTGTAATTAGATATGTTTCTTCAAAACTTTGAAAATAATTACTATAAAATTCTTTCAAATATGTTATCCTGTACCATCAAACTGACTACAATTGTATTGGTGACAGGAGAAACGAATCGCAACGCATACAGCTAACTACTCTTTTGGCTGTGTTCCGCGTCTGGGGCGTGGCACGTGGTGAAGGCGTTTCGGCCAGAATGGGAGCCAGAGCCAAAGCCAGAGCTGGAGCTGGAGTCTGTTCCAGGACGAATTCCAGTGCCAAAGCCAGAGCAGCAGCGACTACCAATTAATGTCCTTGTTAGGCAGTGGCCTGTAAAATTGGCTTAAAAATATGTAACCTTATGCGAAAGAGCGAGAGCCACAAACTGAGCACAACTATGTGTGCACCGGATAGAGTTTAATACAAAAAACAAAAACAAAATATAAAAAAATATGACAAATATTTTAAATTGTCTAAAAGGGATAACTATCTGCTTGAATAAGATTTGTTATTATCACAAATTTATTTCTAAGAAATTTGAAATTTACGAATTGAAATATGCATACATCTTATATTTGCTAATATATTTTTGCAAATAAGATAAGATCAGATCCCGATTTCTGTGGCAGTATAAACCTGTGTGTGTTTGTGTGAACAGGTTGTTTATACAACCACCGAGTGTGTGTGCCAGCCAAAGGGTGGCAAAAAAGGAAGTCCTTGCCACTACAATGGCTACAGTTACATCCTGGCTGGTGTTGCTTTTGGCTTTAAGTGAAATAAAGTTCACTCCGCTTTTTATGCACTCGCGGCTATTATTTAATTTGCGCAGCTGGGCGTAAATGGGCGACGGCTTTGACATGGCCAGGCTTTGCCCAGGAATGCCAGGGTTCAGCTTTCAGCGAATCTGCATTTCAGCATTTCATTATGGGTCACCTCATGCGAGGCCGTGGCAAATCATCGGAGCCGCACTCGAATCGGGCTCAAAGCGGTTGCCGGGCACGCAACATTTGACCAAATTCGGATTGGAAAGCCCCTTCTGACCCCTCTCCCGCCACCATTGGAAAATGCAACGTTTTTGCAGGATATCAAAGCTACCGCAGTGATTTGCAAAAACCAAGAAGGACACGTCTTTTGCCGGACACAAAAAGGGACAAAGGAGGCAATGGCCAGAGGAGATGCAGCCACCGCAGCCGAATGGATACTGAGGCCAGTCCCAGGGCGTATCTCGGTTGTCTAATCTGTAAGCATAAATTCCAATCATTTTGCAAATGGAATGTGCAAGCGGAAACCAATAAAACCGCAGAACACAACACAGCAACAGCAGCAGATGGCCATGGGGGCACAGGACTTTCCGACAGGAGGACGAATGCAGCTTTTTTTTTTGTAACCAACATCGCATATCCATACATGGTAAGTCTTTTGTAGTTGACTTAGGTTTATTAATCAGATATATCCATTAACAAACCTAATCAATTCAATACACCAAAACAATCATACATATATATTCCAAAATGACAGACAGAAATTCGGATACGGAATTTCGGAGATACCGCAGATCCCGAAGACAAAGTTCATTACACTATCAGATAAAGAAGCCGGGGTCATGCACCCTCAACTACAATGATGAGCGAATCTGGGAATCGAATTACCTAAAGGTAAGTATCTGGGTCATATATATTTTGCAAAACTAACAATTTCAATAGCACAAGTGCAAGGAGCTAAAGTTGGAGGAGGAGTATCAAAAGTATCAGATCCGTCTGATGATCAGCTATCTGGGAGTTTTCTTCGTATTGCATATAATGGTCGTTGCAGTCTATATCACAGTGATGATTACTCAGACCGAGGTGAGATTTGAGAACCCCATTAAAAAGGATTTTTTTTTTTGACTAATTTTCTTAAATTTTTTCCAGTATACGGAACGCGTGTATCCAAATATAATTTGCTGCGCAGTCGTGGGTACCCTAATTATGGCTATACTAGCTATCAATTTCCTGGAGATTTTGTGGGACGACACAGATGGGTAATGTCCTTTACCTCGGTTCTGGCCACATTTTGCTTAGTGGGAACAGGTGAGATAAAATAGATCCAGAATGGATATATTAGTAGAAGTTCAAGATATTATTATCCATCCTCAGTGTTTAATAACACCTTTGACCTTTTTAGATTTGGGATTGAATGCATATCATTATACCCGCTACGACTGGCCCCTTAATTCCGCAATGGATATTTATGCCCTGTGTATGATCTACATGTTCCTTCCGATTCCCTCCATCAAGACGACTGCCCTACTTGGTTTCTTTGCCAGTGCTGCCTATGTGGTTTACTTTCTGCAAGTGCTCGCCTTTCTCTCAGTGTATGCCGCACGCACCTCACATGGATATGATGCAATTTCGGTTGATATCTTTCACTATTTTGGCTTCAATATGCTGGGCATTTTCTTTCGCATCATGAATGACACAATGGTGAGGTCATCGTTCCTCGATCGCCATCAGTATATCATGGAGGAGAATTGGTTGCATCATGCCCTACACCAAGAATCAATGCTGCTGCACAACATTTTGCCACCGCAAATAGCAAAACCCTACCAGGAGAGCATCAAGAATAAGATAATGCAAGCGGACTTTGGCATGGAGTTCGGTTCGCAAAACTATCAAAGCTCCATGGCCGTACAGATACATCCCGATGTTAGCATTCTCTATGCGGATGTGGTGAATTACACACACCTGACCACAACCTTGTCGGTGGAGAGTCTGGTGATGGTGCTGCACGATCTCTACGGAAGATTCGATGTGGCTGCCGCCATGTACAAGGTCCAAAGGATCAAGTTCTTGGGCGATTGCTATTACTGTGTGGCCGGTCTGGTTGAGCCCGATCCCGATCATGCTGAGAATGCCGTGGCCCTGGGCCTTTGCATGATTGCTCACATTCAGGAAGTGAGGTAAGAATATTCGCAAGTGAACTTGGGGACAATCATTCACACCGTTCAAACAAAACTTTTTCACAGGAAAGCACGAGGACTGGATATCGATATGCGGATAGGAATCCATTCGGGAAGTCTCTTTGGCGGCGTTATCGGTCAGGCCAAGTTGCAGTTTGATATATGGGGTAAGTTATATCATAAGATATAATCAAAAATAATTCTTGGAAATCTATAGGAGCCGATGTGGATATTGCCAATCATTTGGAGTCCACTGGTAAAGCGGGCTATGTTCACATTAGTGGACGAACTTTGGGCAATTTAACACCGTCCACTTATGAAATATTACCGGGAACAGAAGATGCCCTCAATGATCCTGTACTGCAAAAGCATCCAATGAGGACATACCTAATTACTGGCACTCCCTTCTGGGTCCCATCGAGAAGCTCTGGACGTCCCAGAACGCATCAATCGGCCATTGACATTAAGTCACGACCCGTTCAGGGCGATCCGGGAACTAATATTATGACCGATGAACTGCGGGAGGAATTTCGCAATATGCCAGTGGGTGGCTTTGAGTAAGTAAAAACGCAAAAATCTAAAGGATCCTATATTCATTCCTATAAAAAACTGACTTTATCCCTTAGCTTTCGACGCATGTTTCCATGCTGTGATCGATATGGCGAAGTCTCAAAACATGAAAATGAGCAGGAAATTGGACTTTTGTGTACAATGTTTAAAGACTCATCATTGGAAAAGCATTATCTACAGCAGCCAGATTATATTTTCAAGCGATCAACACTAATGGCCTGGCTAATTGGAGTTTGCTTAATCTACATTCAACTGCTGGGCAATAGTTGCACAGAGTGCATTGTGGTGGATGTGATTGTGCTCATATTTCTCACATTTCTGCTGTTCATCTCGTGGTTCAAGAAAGTGTGCTATTGGAAAAATGGGAAAAAACAGTCTAAGGTGTACAACAAATTTTTTGCCTGATATTCCACCTTCACGAAAAGATCCTGCGCAGTTTATTCCTAAGGATAATGTGCTATATGATGATTATAACGTCGTACTTAACCGTATTGCTCATGATTATGGTGAGTGTATCTTTTGTTACAAATCCAAATCCCTTATTGAAAACTTTCAGATAAATTGCGTTCGTGCCGAATATGAATTGGAATACATTGAGAGCAAACTCTACCATTACGAGGTGAATCGTTACAATTGTTTCCATCCGTGGGCCGTAACAAATATGATGGCTCTCATTCTTGGAATGAGCTACACATTCGCCCGTATACCGTTCGCCCTCAAGACCATCCTCACCTTCCTCGAGGCCATCACCTTCCTGGTCTTAATCCTTGCCGAATATCAGTTTGTATTCCAGCATAGCAACACTACGGTTCCCTATATGCGATCAGAGGTTGCACACTGTAATCGCATATTGCTCATGTTGATCACATTGTACGTGAAGGAGCATCAGGTCGAGTTCAATGCAAAAACCAATTACAGGTGTGTAAATCAATATAAAGTTCTTGAGATTTTTAGCATAACTTCTATCCGTTACCTTTTTATAGGCTGAATGTGAATTTGAAGAACAAGCAAAGGGTTGCCAATGCAACTAATCAATCGATCATAATACTCCTAAACAACATTCTTCCATCACATGTTGGTGAGTTCCTACCAAAAGTTTCCTTCGTATTTAACTAATTTCCTTTTCTCTTTGCCACAATAGTCGATCTTTATCTGTATAAATTGGCCAAGACGAGTTATATTATGAAAACTATCGAATGATCTCCGTAATGTTTGCCAAACTAATGAACTTCACAATGGATTTGCCCAGTTTACGCGTACTAAATTGCATAATCACCGAATTTGATATTCTGGTAAGCAGATCCTTGTGACTCTCACTCTGTCTGAATTATCCTTTTTTTCATGCTTCAGCTGAGTCGGTACAAGGAGTATTACTTGGTTGAAAAGATCAAGGTCGTTGGTTGCACTTATATGGCAGCATGTGGCCTAGATTTTGCCCTGGCAGCAAGGGTTCGTAAGGGAAATTCGTTTAGAGATTCCCACCTTATACGGGGTAGACGCACAATGGAAATGAATGCAAATGACGATAACGAAGAAGTGGTCTACTTGATGACAACCTTCGCCTTGGACCTGATGCGGACACTGGCATCCTGCAACAGGGCATATTCGGAGACGCCCTTCGATAGGAGCCTCTCGAGCACCGAGATAGCCATCGGGATCTCCAGTGGCGAGATCATGGCCGGTGTGGTGGGAGCCTCGCAGCCGCACTACGACATCTGGGGTAATCCGGTGAACATGGCCTCGCGGATGCAGTCGACGGGACTGCCGGGCCACATTCAAGTGACCGAGGAGTCTGCCAAAATTCTAGAGGACTTTGATATCATCTGCAATCCGCGTGGCCTTACGTTTGTGAAAGGACGCGGCGAAATTCCCACATATTTTGTGGCTATTGATGAAAAATTAAAGTTTACATCTCCACGAAACACGAATCTGCAGCGAGCTCCATCGAGGCGCTTCACTGTCATGTCAACAATGCAGCAGGCCTCCACTAGCGATGATGATGAGGACACTACTGATATTGAAGTAGAGCTATAGCTTCTCTATTTGATTAATTCTTACAACAAAAATATATTTTGAAAATTTTATATACGTAGATGTTTTTTTTATTTGTGATTACTTTTTTTTACGTGGCACATCCGGTTGGTGCTATTTCATATTTGCGGTTTTGATCATAACAAGAAAACAAGAACGGAAATGTATTTTCCAGAAGCCAAAGTTTATATTATATTATCGTATCGGAAATTGATCATAACAGCATAAAATATTGGAATTCTTTTAATGAGACAATGGGACAATTTTTTCATAACTCAGCCAAAAAACATTAATTTCAAATCGGGAAACTGTCCTATGTTAATTTTAATAGTTTTATAAGTCTGCATACTCAATTTTTAAATTTGAAAATTAAATATTTGATAATTTTTCCAAATTTCAAAGATGTAAAATTATAAAATTTTTAAATTTTGAAAAAATGTAATTTTATTCCAACATAGTTAGATCGACTCAGTTTTCGATGCTGATCAAGAATATATATAATTTATAGGGTCGGAAATGATCCTTCACTGCGTTACATGTTTCTTATAAACATTTTAATACGCTACAATTGTATAATAACATCCATGCGTATACGTAATTTTTTGGAAATCAACTGCCAAAAATTAAATAGGCGATTAATTTTGCCATATGTGGCGTTGAAATTGAACTCATTAATTGCCAAATTCAAATGTAAAAAGGCGATAAGTTCCTGAGAAATGAACTGTCCTGGTTTCTGTAGGCCTCGTTTTAAAATTTAACAAAAAATAATATTTTTTTCATTTAATTTAAGTCAATCATAACTTTGCCAAAAAGGAATTAATTCTGATTCGGAAAGCTGTCTTATGTTAGTTTTTGTTCAGTTAAAAAATCTGCATAGTGCATTTAATATTTAAAAGAATCAAATTTAGCAAATTTAACGATGTACGATGTTATACAGTTTTAAAATTTCAAAAAATTTTTTAGGCAACATAGCTAAATGAACTCAGTTTTGATCCTGATCAAGAATATATGCTTTATAGGATTGCTTCTGACTGAAATTATATTATACCCTGGAAGGATATAACTAGCTTTTTTTAGAATATTTGCATTTGATGCATTGATTAATGCTAAATAGTGTTTTTACCCGTTAGCAAATATTTGGATACCAATGATTTAAATATACATTTTTAAGTAATGAATATTGAATCAAGTAGTAGTAATTTAAACTGTCAAAGATTGCAAACTGTTGAAATACAGATTCAAATCCGACAACGAAAATCTTAAATAATAATGAAGTGCAAGCTCAATTATCTGGTGGAGAGCACGTGGGACTTTCGATACCTCAAGGTAATTTGCGAAACCAAGTCTGATTTATGAACCTATATATAATAATCGAAAACCTTTAGGCCAAATGTAAAGAGCTCGGCTTAGAAGGTGAGTTTAAGGCTTATCAGATACGACTCTTCAGGAGTTTCGTTGGCGTATTCTGCGTACTTCATGTTCTCGTTACAATTATTCATTGTGTATTGATATCGACATTGAGTGAGGTAAGCCATCTACATATTTCCTTTCTATCTGAATCACACGCTACTTTAATAATTTACAGCAAAAGAAGTATCTACACATTGACGTTGGTGTATATATAGGAAGCTGTTTGATGCTTTTACTCATTCTGAGCATAAATTTCTGGGAGAAACTAACTGAAAGGCATACGTGGATAATGCTTGTCAGTTCTACATTGGCCTGTATGACTTTGGTGACTGCAGGTGAGCTCCGTGTATAAATTTCTATTTTCCCAGGTGTGACATTAATTGATTCACAGATCTGAGCCAGAGCCTATACCATCATTTTCGCAATGGCTGGCAGTGTGGCTCGTTCTACGACACATATATCCAGTACATGATCTACTTATTCCTGCCGATCCTGTCCACCAAATGCGCCATTCTGTTGGGTTCTATAGTCACTCTCATGTATTTTATTATCTACGCGAAAATCATGTCCTCTAGAATAGATGAGAAAGAATCGACCTTGGGTGACATTTCCCTAGAACTTCTCCACGGTCTGTGCACAAATCTCCTTGGCATTTATTGGCGTTTCCTTAATGAAATGGTGGTGCGATCCTCATTCATAGATCGCCACCAATTTATTAAGGAAGAGTTTAGTTTACGCAACGCAAGGCGCCAGGAGAAACTCCTGCTGGACAGTATCCTGCCCTCTCAGTTTTCAGAGCTCTTGCAAAAGGACATTAAGAAACGGATCCTTATATCTAAGCGTTATTCCTCTGGACCAACTGAAAATATGTACGCCTTTAAACGTTCCATGGCCATCCAAACCCATTCAGATGTCAGTATTCTGTATGCAGATGTGGTGAACTACACCTACCTGACAACGACATTAACCGTGGAGAAGCTAGTGACCACCCTGCATGACCTTTATGCCAGATTTGACCTTGCTGCCCAACGGTACAGTGTGCAGCGTATCAAATTCTTGGGAGATTGCTATTATTGTGTGTCGGGCTTAGCGGATGCGGATCCCGATCATTCGAATAATGCAGTGGCTTTGGGTATTCCATGATTGCTCACATGCAGGAAGTGCGGTAAGCTTCTATTAATATTTGATTAAATAATCTAATTAAGAACCTTTCTATCTTCCCAGTGAATCACAAGAGTTGAATATAAATATGCGCATTGGCGTTCATTCTGGCAGCTTGTACGCCGGGGTAATCGGTGAAGCAAAACTTCAATATGATGTTTGGGGTGAGCAGGTTAATCTTTAACCCTAGAGCTTTTTTTTAAACGACTTTCATGTACTTTAAGGACTGGATGTCACAATTGCAAATGTCCTTGAATCTACTGGCGTTCCAGGTGCTGTGCACGTTAGCAGCGCCACTATGAGAAATCTTACGGTTAGTCACTACATAATTGAGAGCGGTCCAGAAAAGGCAAAGAACGATCCGATTTTACAAAAATATAGAATTAGCACATACCTAATAGTATCTTTGCAAATGATGTCATCGAGTTTGAGTCCTCTTCGCAGGACATAAACGCCGAATCCGGCACTCAAATGATAAAACGGTTGAGCACCTTTTTCAATGAGGAATTGCATGAAGAGTATCGAAAGATGCCAGTCATAAGATTTGAGTGAGTTGATTCTCTTTACGAGTTTCTAAAATCATATTACAAAATTCCTTAATCAAACAGCTTAAAGACACTTTACGATTGGTTGCTTAGAAAGGAAACTAGACATAAGTTAAGTAAGCAAATGGACTGCTGCCTGACCTTCTATTCATCGGATCTGGAGAAAGCCTATTTGAAACAAATTGATTATTTATTTAAATACCACATGCTATTGGCCTGGTTCGCTGGAACTTCCCTAATAGTCGTGGAAATATTGAATGGTTCGGATATATGCATATATTGCTATATTCTTGACGCTTTTGTATTTCTGTCCCTGACTGCTCTGGGCTTTATTTCGTGGTACAAACAGTTTTGCTGGTTGATATATGACAAGAGCAAAAAACCGCACACGTATAACCGTTTCAGTTGTACTATTTTCCGGATTCATGAGAAAATCCAGGAAAATCTAACCGTTCGCATTTGCACATACCTGTTTGTAATATCATTGAATTGGATTCTAGTCATTTTGATTACGGTAAGTTTTTCTTAATAAAGATCTCCTCATTTATTAGAAATTTATTTGTATCCATCAGATGACCTGCCACTTTGAGGAATTCATCTTGAAATTTATCGAGGAGAGGATCTATCGTTATGAAAGTAATGAAAAATATGTTTTCTACCATGGGTTTCCACCGATATGATAGCCCTGATGATTAGCATGTCCTTCACCTTCAGTCACATTCCGTTCCTGCTGAAGACCTCAATAGCCCTGGCACACATTTTTATTTATTTCATATTCATTTTCCTGCAGTTTGATTTCGTTTTCCATCACAGCATCACTACGAATCCCTACTTTCCCGCAGAGTATTCCCATGCTTTCATAATAATAGTTACTTTTACCATAATGTATCTGAAGGCCCGGCAAACTGAGTTTTCCAAAAAGGTTAACTTTCAGTGAGTTTGTGAGTTTTAAACATCATCAAACTTATTCTAAAACTTGTGAAATATTTTAGCTGGCGCGTCGAGTTGGAAAAGAAGCAGAATGATGCCCTAATAACCAATCAATCTATCATTATTCTACTGAATAATATTCTTCCCAATCATGTTGGTGAGTTCTTCGAAAAGTAAAAGTTAAGCAATAAATATTACTACTTGTTTTCCACAGTCGATATCTATCTTAGCTCATTATCCCACAACGAATTGTATTATGAAAGTTATAAAATGGTATCAGTCATGTTTGCCATGTTATCGAATTTTCAAATGGATATGCACAGTTTACGGATACTAAATGAGGTTATTACACAGTTTGATGTACTGGTAAGTAATATAAATATTATTACCTATTAATTACTTGTATTAAATCAAGTATAGTTATTGTACTACAGAGAGTATTATGTGGTTGAGAAAATCAAAATTGTCAATTGCACATATATGGCAGCCTGTGGCTTGGATATTAACTTTGCTGGTACCACCAGTAAGCCATTGAGACCGGGATCCATAGACGAAGGTAAGTGATACATATTGAAAATAAACATTAAAATATATATCTCTTTGCTCACAGAAAAGCGCTTGCACCAGGTTAACACTGGGGACAGCGAAGAAGTGGTTTACGTGATGGCTTCTTTTGCTCTGGATCTCATGCGAACCTTGGCTAACTGCAACAAGGCCTACAATGGCATTATCCAGGAGTTCAACATAATGGATGGAATGATAACAATTGGAATATCCAGTGGTGAAATAATGGCTGGCATCGTTGGTGCCTCAAAGCCGCACTATGACATCTGGGGTGATCCAGTGAATATGGCAGCGAGAATGGAGATGACAGGTCTTTCGGGTCACATCCAAGTAACGGAGGAGTCTGCAAATATACTCCAATCTTTTGGCATTAAGGCCAATTACCGGGGACTGACCTTTGTGAAGGGTCGAGGTTTACTTCCTACATACTTTCTGGGTATCGATGAGAGCTACAATTTCATACGTATTAATGCAGACCGGAAGCCTAATCATTCGATTCGAAGTACATTTATTTCAATGGAGAGTACGTACGCTTAGTTAAATATATTATTTTTAAAAACAAAACCTAGAAAAGACTTACACTTTAAATAAACCATTAACAAACTTTGCTAGATATTTAACGATTGCCTTTTAAAAATGCCAAATAATTTGTCATGGAAAAAAGTGAAGAACTCATTATTTCGGCTTTGTTAAATAGACTTAATAATGGCTTAAAAATTTAAATATGCTAATATGACCTTAATGACTTTTCCATATTGTCTCACCAGGCCACCTCTGATCCAGGGAATGACACGTACTTTCCATTGAAAGCATAATTAATGATTTTACTACGCCTATCCATTAAGAGTGTCGAAAGCAAAAGCATGGCAACTGAAAATTAACATCAAAATCAGAAGCTAAGTTGATTTTCGCTCTTGACTCTCCATCTCCATTTTCCCTTTTCCAGTTTAATTGAATTAATCCCAAACCATGTTCAAATTCTGAGTGCCTACCGATTCGAAGAAAGAACCCTTTTCGCACGTGCAATTAACAGACATTTTTACAAGCAATTTGGAAAATATGATGGCGCTGTCAGACCTGTGCAATGTGATCGCCTGCCACTACCTCTCCCTTTGATGCTGATGCTGATGATGATGATGATGATGATGATGATGGTGATGCTTGTCATTGTTTGCTGTAATTGACGAGTCCACGCTGAAGTGAAACATCAAAAAAGCAATACGACAGCACGAAAATACAAATGTACGAAAATTCGCGTTAGACAAACAGGCATTTCCGGGAAAAAGGCCCCCGAGGACACCCTCTGCATTCCCGTGTGTCCTTTTCCGCACTGAATCGAGTTGTTTTATCCGCACGGACACGGTCCAATGTTCCTTTGACATGTAAAACGCTTCACGCTCTCTCATCCAAATGAATATCCACGACAAAAACAAAAAAAGAAATGTAGCCTCTCGTTTTTCGAAGTAAAAAACTTGGTGGAAACTAATTGAAATGCATGTGTATTTCAAATGTGAACTTATTTGCAAACGTATTTCCCATGAAAACAGGTGAGAAAATTAAATAAAAATTATCTTTCTCATTCAAGCTACACTAACGAGTGTGTTTCTGGATTTTTTAGTTAAGGTTTTTTCACCATTAGTGTGCCGATACACCAGTTAAAAAATTGTATATAAAATTTTAAAGCAATTTTTTTTAGATATTGAAAATTCTGCTCAAAAATTATATCTATAGAATATTTTATAGAATATGTTTGTTATTAGCCTTTTAAATATACAAATATTTGCATACGGATTATTAAAAAATAAATATAAAGAATGTCCCAAAAGCAAAAGATATGGTTGCATGCAAAGAGGTCCGTCTAAGGGCTAGGTCCCTAAAATTATCCTATAACCTCCTGGCTGCATCTTGATCCCGCATCAACACCTTTTATAACATATTTCATTTTCAGTATTTTTCCGAAATTTACTTAAGGTTTGTCAGTTTTAATTTTATCAATTCTCTATGTATAACATAAAAAAGAAACTAAACTCGGGAAGCCGAAGGTTGTTTTAATTTGGACCAGGGAAACCTTTCCAATGCTACTACTTATTATGGCAATAAAACTGGATACTCAATTTACTCCGAAATGAGTCCCTCGCAGTTCTACAAGCTTTTGACTAAACGTCTAAAACCATTCTTTGGGTAGATATTTATCTATATTTTATATGACAATTTTGTCAATAAATCAAAATTTAAAAATCTCATAACTAAGCCAAAAATGCATTAATTTCAATTCGGAAACCTTTCCTATGCTAGTTTTTATCAGGGCAATAAAACTGCATACTCAATAAAAAATTTAAATTTTTGTCGATTTTTACAATTTTAATGATGTAACCCCTTATCTTTTTTTGCAAAAATGGGAAAAATTTTCAAAATTTTTTTTCAACCGGACACAGTTAGATCGATGCAGCTGTTCATTCTGATCAATAATATATATGATTTATGGGGTCGGAAATGACTCCTTCATAGTTTTATAAGCTTCTGACTAAACGTATAATACCATTCTTTCAGTATATATTTATTTATATGACAATTTTGTCAATAATTCAAATTTTAAAAAATTCATAACTATTCAAAATGCATTAATTTTAATTCGGAAACTTTTCCAATGCTACTACTTATTATGGCAATAAAACTACATTCTCAATTTACTCCAAAATGAGTCCCACGCAGTGCTACAAGCTTCTGACTAAACGTCTAAAACCATTCTTTGGGTAGATATTTATCTATATTTTATATGACAATTTTGTCAATAATTCAAATTTTAAAATATTCATAACTATGCCAAAAAAAAATAATTTTAATTCGGAAACTTTTCAATGCTACTACTTATTATGGCAATAAAACTGCATTCTCAATTTACTCCGAAATGAGTCCCTCGCAGTTCTACAAGCTTTGACTAAACGTCTAAAACCATTCTTTGAGTATTTTATATGACAATTTTGTCAATAATTCAAAATTTAAAAACCTCATAACTAAGCCAAAAATGCATTAATTTCAATTCGGAAACCTTTCCTATGCTAGTTTTTATCAGGGCAATAAAACTGCATACTCAATAAAAAATTAACATTTTTGTCGATTTTTAACAATTTTAATGATGTAACCCCTTTTTTTTTGCAAAAATGGGAAAAATTTTCAAAATTTTTTTTCAACCGGACATAGTTAGATCGATGCAGCTGTTCATTCTGATCAATAATATATATGATTATGGGGTCGGAAATGACTCCTTCATAGTTTTATAAGCTTCTGACTAAACGTATAATACCATTCTTTCAGTATATATTTATTTATATGACAATTTTGTCAATAATTCAAATTTTAAAAAATTCATAACTATTGCAAAAATGCATTAATTTTAATTCGGAAACTTTTCCAATGCTACTACTTATTATGGCAATAAAACTGCATTCTCAATTTACTCCGAAATGAGTCCCTCGCAGTTCTACAAGCTATTGACTAAACGTCTAAAACCATTCTTTGGGTAGATATTTATCTATATTTTATATGAAATTTTGTCAATAAATCAAAATTAAAAACCTCATAACTAAGCCAAAAATGCATTAATTTCAATTCGGAAACCTTTCCTATGCTAGTTTTTATCAGGGCAATAAAACTGCGTACTCAATAAAAAATTAACATTTTGTCGATTTTTTACAATTTTAATGATGAACCCCTTTTTTTTTTGCAAAAATGGGAAAAATTTTCAAAATTTTTTTTCAACCGGACATAGTTAGATCGATGCAGCTGTTCATTCTGATCAATAATATATATGATTGATGGGGTCGGAAATGACTCCTTCATAGTTTTATAAGCTTCTGACTAAACGTATAATACCATTCTTTCAGTATATATTTATTTTATATGACAATTTTGTCAATAATTCAAATTTTAAAAAATTCATAACTATTGCAAAAATGCATTAATTTTAATTCGGAAACTTTTCCAATGCTACTACTTATTATGGCAATAAAACTGCATTCTCAATTTACTCCGAAATGAGTCCCTCGCAGTTCTACAAGCTTTGACTAAACGTCTAAAACCATTCTTTGGGTAGATATTTATCTATATTTTATATGACAATTTTGTCAATAAATCAAATTTAAAAACCTCATAACTAAGCCAAAAATGCATTAATTTCAATTCGGAAACCTTTCCTATGCTAGTTTTTATCAGGGCAATAAAACTGCATACTCAATAAAAAATTAACATTTTTGTCGATTTTTACAATTTTAATGATTAACCCTTATCTTTTTTGCAAAAATGGGAAAAATTTTCAAAATTTTTTTTCAACCGGACATAGTTAGATCGATGCAGCTGTTCATTCTGATCAATAATATATATGATTTATGGGGTCGGAAATGACTCCTTCATAGTTTTATAAGCTTCTGACTAAACGTATAATACCATTCTTTCAGTATATATTTATTTTATATGACAATTTTGTCAATAATTCAAATTTTAAAAAATTCATAACTATTGCAAAATGCATTAATTTTAATTCGGAAACTTTTCCAATGCTACTACTTATTATGGCAATAAAACTGCATTCTCAATTTACTCCGAAATGAGTCCCTCGCAGTTCTACAAGCTTTGACTAAACGTCTAAAACCATTCTTTGGGTAGATATTTATCTATATTTTATATGACAATTTTGTCAATAATCAAAATTTAAAAACCTCATAACTAAGCCAAAAATGCATTAATTTCAATTCGGAAACCTTTCCTATGCTAGTTTTTATCAGGGCAAAAAACTGCATACTCAATAAAAAATTAACATTTTTGTCGATTTTTAACAATTTTAATGATGTAACCCCTTATCTTTTTTGCAAAAATGGAAAAATTTTCAAAATTTTTTTTCAACCGGACATAGTTAGATCGATGCAGCTGTTCATTCTGATCAATAATATATATGATTTATGGGGTCGGAAATGACTCCTTCATAGTTTTATAAGCTTCTGACTAAACGTATAATACCATTCTTTCAGTATATATTTATTTTATATGACAATTTTGTCAATAATTCAAATTTTAAAAAATTCATAACTATTGCAAAATGCATTAATTTTAATTCGGAAACTTTTCCAATGCTACTACTTATTATGGCAATAAAACTGCATTCTCAATTTACTCCGAAATGAGTCCCTCGCAGTGCTACAAGCTTCTGACTAAACGTCTAAAACCATTCTTTGGGTAGATATTTATCTATATTTTATATGACAATTTTGTCAATAAATCAAAATTTAAAAACCTCATAACTAAGCCAAAAATGCATTAATTTCAATTCGGAAACCTTTCCTATGCTAGTTTTTATCAGGGCAATAAAACTGCATACTCAATAAAAAATTAAATTTTTGTCGATTTTACAATTTTAATGATGTAACCCCTTATCTTTTTTGCAAAAATGGAAAAATTTTCAAAATTTTTTTCAACCGGACATAGTTAGATCGATGCAGCTGTTCATTCTGATCAATAATATATATGATTTATGGGGTCGGAAATGACTCCTTCATAGTTTTATAAGCTTCTGACTAAACGTATAAACCATTCTTTCAGTATATATTTATTTATATGACAATTTGTCAATAATTCAAATTTTAAAAATTCATAACTATGCAAAAATGCATTAATTTTAATTCGGAAACTTTTCCAATGCTACTACTTATTATGGCAATAAAACTGCATTCTCAATTTACTCCGAAATGAGTCCCTCGCAGTGCTACAAGCTTCTGACTAAACGTCTAAAACCATTCTTTGGGTAGATATTTATCTATATTTTATATGACAATTTTGTCAACAAATCAAAATTTAAAAATCTCATAACTAAGCCAAAAATGCATTAATTTCAATTCGGAAACCTTTCCTATGCTAGTTTTTATCAGGGCAATAAAACTACATACTCAATAAAAAATGAAATTTTTGTCGATTTTTGACAATTTTAATGATGTAACCCCTTATCTTTTTTTGCAAAAATGGAAAAAATTTTCAAAAATTTTTTTTCAACCGGACATAGTTAGATCGATGCAGCTGTTCATTCTGATCAATAATATATATGATTTATGGGGTCGGAAATGACTCCTTCATAGTTTTATAAGCTTCTGACTAAACGTATAATACCATTCTTTCAGTATATATTTATTTTATATGACAATTTTGTAATAATTCAAATTTTAAAAAATTCATAACTATGCCAAAAAATATTAATTTTAATTCGGAAACTTTTGCAATGCTACTACTTATTATGGCAATAAAACTGCATTCTCAATTTACTCCGAAATGAGTCCCTCGCAGTGCTACAAGCTTTGACTAAACGTCTAAAACCATTCTTTGGGTCGATATTTATCTATATTTTATATGACAATTTTGTCAACAAATCAAATTTAAAAATCTCATAACTAAGC